CATTTTTAATTTTCTACCCTGTCATATTTCTTAAAACCCATCTGTGGTTTCTCGGATAAAAATCTGCACTAAATGCTATCTCTTTGCAATCTCATCTACTGTTACTGTTTCAACTACTACCTATAAGCTAACAATACCCAGCTTCCTATTTCTAGCCTAGACCTTCTTTTGTAGCTTCGGATCTGTACTACACATAAACACTAGAAGGACCTGACTAAAATATTGTGACCTTGTCTTGTCCTCCTAAAACTCTCTAGTAGCCACCTCACTAGGTTAAATCTAAGCCCTTCAACAGGCTACTATCTTCCTCAGATAAAAACTGTCCAACTTAATTTATTGTTATTTTCATTTCCTTTGACTGAAAGACTTAAGCTTTGTACCTTCCACCTTTTCTTACTTTGCCATCCCCAGCCCTCGTGGTATGTAGATGGTACTGAAAAGAAATGAGTACTTAAATGTTTTCTCCTGGGCATTGGAACTTTGCTGAAAAAAACTATGCCAGTTGAGGTATTTCTAAAATTAGGCTATCTAAATTTAGCAGGTTTTTTACTGTTGCTTTCAGGAAAAAAAAAAAAAAGAATTTTTTTCTTTCTCACTGCTATTATTCTGCATTTTCAAACCTTTTTCACTTTTGGTTCATTTCTTTATTACCCTCACATCCCCCTTTCAAGGAACTAATCCTCACATATTTGTTTTAGCTAAGGGTACAATTATATAATTTCTTTCTGATTTACTTTAAAATTTGTGTCTCTGCCCTACTTTTTTCCTCCTTCATACCTCTTTAGAAGAAATGTATCCCATATTGTTGATATAACACCTTTTCACCATTTCTGTAACATTGCTTTTATTTTTTTTATTTTTTTTTTGTAACATTGCTTTTAATATCTGTAATGCTGCTTTAACATTTTCATTTCCTTTGACTGAAAGACTATAATTACTTTTTAGTCTATTATTGAATTAGTAAAATTTATGGAACTGAGATTAGGCATATGGAAAGAAAGTTTGTTTTAAATCTGCTCAACATTTTGGTCCTTTTTTAAAGAATAACTTTTGCTAATTTTTAATTCATCCTACATTCATTTAAAACACATTTACAGTACTTTAAAAAAATGTTTTTCTAGTAAATTTCTTTCAACTTAGTTAAATTTCTGCTTGGGTCATCTCTAGTTTCAGATTTCCTTTTAAAAAATAAAGTGATCATAACTAATAATGCATGAGGTAGAAATTGCTTAAGGATGCTTAGAGTTTTGTTTGAAAGTCTGCTAGGCATTCTGGAGTGTGAGATTGAGGTTGGGGGCAGCAAACTATTCTATAGGTCATGAAAGAGATTTCCCTGAAAGGGTAATGAAAAATGTCTCCTTTATAATTTGATAGATTAATTGGGATAATGCACATTGGAGGGAGAATATGCATTGCTTTTTGTTTTCAGAACTTTATTTGAAGAATTATAAAACAATACTAAATTGGTAAGACTACTAAATAATAAACACAGTGACAATATAGTGGGACTTGATTGGTGAAGAATTTCTGAAACAATTGCCTCTGTTCCTTTCATTAAAATTGACATTTTGTTCCAGTAGCTGGAATGATTTTTTTTTTAAATATTTTTTTTTTAGTTGTAGATGGACACAATATCTTTATTTATTTATCTTTATGTGGGGCTGAGAATCAAACCCAGTGCCTCACACACGCTAGGTGAGCTCTCTACCACTGAGCCACAATCCCAGCTCCAGCTGGAATGATGTTTGTTTTTAACATGGAAAAAGTGAAACACCTAGTAAATGTAAAGCAAACTCTTATTCACATTCATAGGAACAAAATGAATTATATCGTTTTGAAGCATAATTAGATAACATGATTTTTCTTTTGTCTACTGATGTTGGTATGCTTAAAATGTCATCTTTGTGCTGAATGCAAGTCAAAGTTAGTTTTTCATTGATATCTGTGGGAAATTGGTTCCAGAACACCTAGGGATACCAAAATCCATGGATGTTTAAATCCCATATATAAAATGGTGGGCTGGGGATGTGGCTCAAGCTGTAACGTGCTAGCCTGGCGTGCGTGCGGCCTGGGTTGGATCCTCAGCACCACATACAAACAAAGATGTTGTGTCCGTCAAAAACTAAAAAATAAATATTAAAATTCTCTCTCTCTCTCTTAAAAAAAAAGGTATATCATTTGCACACTCGCACATATCTTCCCATATACTTTAAATCATTTTACTTATAATATCTTATAAAATAGCTACACAAGTAGCTTTTATGCTTTGTTGTTTAGAGAATAATAACAAGAAAAAGAAGTATGAACATGTTTAATACAGGTGTGGGTTTTTTCCCCCCAAGAGTACTTGATTACTGAACCACAAATATGAAGGGCTGACTATATATGTATTGCCTTAAATTTTGGAAGTAAGTAAAGTGAATAAATTGATTTGGTTATGGAATTTTAGAGAACTTGATTTAAAGGAGTATTTTAAATAAAAGCCTTTTTATTAATCAAAAAATACTTAGAGTCCCTCCCACATGCCATGTGATGTTGTACACCATCTTTCTGGAAGTCATAGTATGGTATTGTTCTTTCTTTGCTTTCCAGAGATAATCAGTGATACAATCTTCATTTTATTCCTTATAACCATCTCTTCTGATTTTTCTCTTTTGCTGTAATAACTCAAAAAAATTTTTTTAACCACTTATTCTTTCCCACTTGTATTTTAGCAACTTTGAATTGTTCTCCTACATTCCTAATTTACAGTGATGACAGGATGCTTTTTTGAAAACTCTGAATTTGATCGTGGTACTCAACTGCTTGTTGTTATTCTTCATTGATCCTCATTACATACCATATTCCTTCATCTTCATGCCTTGCTTCACACTGTGAATTAGCTGGCAGACTATTTGCAGTTCTTTGAACTACCTACCTTGTTTCACAGTTGCTTACTTTGATCATACTTTTTCCTCTAGTTGCTCCATACAATATTTGTACTTTTAAAAAAATTACTAAAATAAGAATATTACAGTCTGGGGATATGATTTATTGATAGAGCACTTGCCTAACCTGTGCATGGCACTGGGTTTCATCCCCAGTAGTGAGGGGAAAAGAAGCAAAACAAAGACTAAGAATACTATCAATAGCAAAATTGGCGATATTAGTCCATATATATCTTTTACCATGTGCCAAGCATTGTTTTAGCTCTTCTTATTACTTGACTCATTTTGTGTTTACAACTCTATGAGAAAAGTTCATATGTGAATATTAAGGCATAGAAAATGTGTATAACATGTCCAGGGTTGTACAAGTAGGTAGTGGTCATGCCAGATCATGAACTCAGACATTTGACTCTGGAGTCTGATCTAAACTACTAGATTATATTGTTTCCATTCATAAGACTGTTGAAGCAGCATTGCTTCTGTGTTCTTTCCTAGGCCTCATCTCTTAGGAAAAGCTGACTGTTCCTTTGTTTGAATTTCTACTGATTCACAGAATACCACTTAGAACTTGATATTGCTTATACACTTTTGCTTCTCTAAGGCAGGAATACTATGTCTTTGAATATCATCCTTCTGTTGCCAGTGTTGGCACGTTCTTAATCAAGAGGCAGATGGATAAATGATTGCATGAATCACCAAATTGTAAAGGTACAGGAAATCTTAGAAATCATTAATCTTTTTTTTTATAGATGAAAAACTTGAGACTAAATATATGTAATGAGAATACCAGATTTTAATGTGAATGGTTTAACAAAGTTAAATTTCATTACTAGAATTTTAGTGGTTGATAACCCACCAATTTGCCTGAAAGCTCAATCAGAAGAACTGATTTTATAGCTAATTGGAGAGTGTTTTGTAAGCAGTGTTGTCAGAGTCTAGTTTCATATACCTCATGTAAGATGTACTGTAAGAATTGTGTTTGTGATCATTTATATTTCATATCTGTGTCTTTTCAGTATGAAGCAGAAAACTTGTCTGGATCATTTGCCTTTGTAGGTTCTCTGAGCACTCATAAAGTTTTTTGTTTGTATGTTTGGTTTTGTTTTAGAATTAAATTGGAAAATCATACAGAATTTTTATGTAAAACCAGTAAAACTGTATCCTATAGAGCATTTGGTAATTTTACAAATGTCTGTGTTTTTTATTTTAACTTGATGTTAAGGACTAGAAAATGTAGAAATACTGATAAATTTTGAACCTGGGGGATTGTTACATGCAAATTAATGACACTATTCTTTCTACTTTTAAAAATATTTGACATTTTTTAATACAAGATAAAAATAAGCCATAGAAGCTCTGATCTCTACTTTGGTTGTATGAAATTGGAATGTTTATTTCCAAATATGGGTATTATTGGGAAACTCTATATCCTTTACAGTTTCTTCCTGAATTTATGTTACTATCGCAGAATTAAATAAGTATTTTATTCATTTTTATTGACTTTATGCAGATAAGGGTTATCTTTTTTCTGATAAGTGGTATCATGTTTTATATTTAGCCAAAGATCAATGATAGGAAACTCAGACAGTATTATGTTTCTACCTTCCTGGATAAAGCTCCCCCAAATAAGCATACATTTCCTTTTGTATAACAAAATAACATAGATTATATTAGTTACCAGTGTACGTTATATTTGTTTTGTAATTATAACTTTGTGTTACTACTTCAGAGGTTCACATTTATTCATAAGATTCCAGGTAAAGTTTATCTTGAATTGATAGGTAGAGGACCAGGGGTGAATGTCAATTATTGCCAACATCCTACTTCTCTAGTTTGCTGGTGGGCACACAGGGTTTTTTTGTTGTTGTTGTTTTGTTTTTGTTTTTCAAGTGATTTAATTTAATAAATAAGTAACTTTATGATGAGGAAAATTTCTAACAAAAATATTTACAACTTGAAGTGCTTAAAATATAATTGTTAGAAAATGGGCATAACAGGATTTCTTTATCAGTGTTAAGAATTTGAATTAAAACTTACAGGGTTAATTATGCTAATATTCACTTGTATTTTAAGGGTTCTGATGATTGCCTTGTGAAAATCTGGGCAACAGATGATGGGAGATTATTAGCTACTTTAAGAGGACATGCTGCTGAAATATCAGACATGGCTGTAAACTATGAGAATACCATGATAGCAGCTGGAAGTTGTGATAAAATGATCCGAGTCTGGTGTCTTCGAACCTGTGCACCTTTGGCAGTTCTTCAGGGTCACAGTGCATCTATTACATCACTACAGGTAATTGTTTTAATTCCTTTTAAAAACTTTTTGTTGTAATTTAGAGTAAGCTTTTAGAAACTCAGATTTATAATCATTATATAAGGTTTACTAAAACTAAAAAATATTTGTTTTCTTTAGAAAATTATATGTATTTTGAATAATATAGTAGTCATGATCTTGTTCTGTTCTGGGTATTTTCTGTATTGTTAGTTGTTAATGGTATGATAAAAAGTGGTTATTTGTACTATATCACTCTGTGTAAATATTTTTATTTTTCTGTGATTGTTTTTCAGTTCTCACCATTGTGCAGTGGCTCAAAGAGATATTTATCTTCTACTGGGGCAGATGGCACTATTTGTTTTTGGCTCTGGGATGCTGGAACTCTTAAAATAAAGTCAGTTGCTATTTTATTTCATAAAATGTATTTAACGATTGAAATTGCAAAAGTCAACAATAGAAATCAGTTTCATTTTCTTCTTGGGGAAATAATAGAAATTCCCTTTGCTTGTTCAATGACCTGTTTTTTTTTAAGCCCGCCCCCCCTTTCTATGCTTCAAAGAAAGTTTTCTAATCATAAATATTTTTTTCCTCTCATCTGTGTCCTAGTTCTTTCCTTCGGGGTATACCTGTTTAAATACTATTCCTTTCTATGTGCCATATACTTATGTCTCAGTATTTCTGTTTGGTGCTGAGAAATGTTAGAGTTACTAATGCTATTCTTCAGAATAATTGTAATTGTGTTACTAAATCTACACATACTAGATTTTATTATAGATCTAGGGAAAGTTTGGAAAACAAATTTTACTAGATAGATGTACACACATAATCACATTTCCATTTGTGCTTTCACCTATGTTAAAATCTTGGTTTGTCAAAACAGGTTGGCTGACAGTTATCTTTTGATTAAGGACACTGAGGTGAAGAAAGGTTAAATGATTTTCCCATATTTAAAACAAGTTTTTTGTTGTTGTTGTTTGTTTTTTTAATCGAAGACCAAAATTAGAACACTTCTTTACTCTTTAGTCTTGTGCTTTATATTCCATTTCTTTTGAGTAGATGGACTGAAGAGAGGTGCTTGTATTTATTTGCTCCAGTGAATCCACAGTGTCTAAAGTGGTCATTTTTGCCACTTTCAGAAAAGAAAATCATTCAGATTAGAAGGTATATTTCAGTAATTATCTGTTTATAAATTATCAACTTGAGTTGAGTAATTTAATAATTTATATATACCTTTATTATTTTAAATGGTAGTATCACATAATTGTTTCCAATTAGTATATTGACACAATGTAAGACTTCTCTTAAACCATGTGTGTGAACATTCCTATGCAATGTTTGTTATAGGAGGGCATTAGAACATGCTAACATGAAAAACATAATACAAGTGTACTTCATTTGAAGAGAAGATTGTGATACAAAAGATGTCTTTGGACAAAACAAGTTGATTTAACCTTAATTGTATTCTTTATATTTAATGTCTTTCTATAGACATTTAGATAAAGGTTGAACTATAGTACTTATTCATTTGGACAGTCATCAGTAATTGTTACTATATTTTAACTTCCTGGTATCTGAATGCCCTTTGTTTATTACTGTCTTGTTAGAGAAGAAAAAAGTGATAAGCAGTTTTTAAATTAGGATACAAACAGAACATGTTTTACAAAATTTTTATAAAAGTTTTTTTTTTTTGAGCATTACAATGCTAACTACAATAATAATTTAGGCTTCTGTATCCTTGAGAAGTGAGTTTTTTATAATGTAGAATCACATATAACTCACTGCCTGAATGTAATTTTTTTATGATTGATCTTGTATAGGCAGAGGAATTATAATATTCTGTTGATTTTTTTTTTTTATCATAAACATTTCTGGTATTTTTTATTTATTTTGGCAGATTTGTATGAAAAATTGAACCCAGGGACCCTCTACCAAGGAGTTGCATCCCCAACCCTTTCTATTTTTAATTTTGAGATAGAGTCTGGCTAAGTTGCTAAAGCTGGCCTTGGACTTATTGTCCTCCTTACCTCAGCCTTTTGAATCACTGGGATTACAGGCATGTGGTACCGTGCGTCACTCTGTTAATTTTAATAGCTGTGTTATGTTCTATTTAGTTGTTCCACACTTTGCTTAGTGATTTTTTTTCTGTTTTTGAACATTAAAGTTTTTTCTAGCTATTTCTGAATAGTATGCTTTTCTGTTTGCTATTATTAATTATCTCTTTAAAAATTTCAAGCCAGTCTCAGATATAAAAATAAGAGTAATCCCTTTCTCCTTGGCTGTAGGCTTTGGGGCACTTCTTTTCTTTTCTGTATTTACATATCATTGATAATTGCCAAAAAATTTGGCAGGATATAGTTTTGTTACTGTAGTTATATTATACTGTAATAATCAAAGGCAGCTGGGTGAGAAGGTGCAATCCTGTAATCCCAGCAGCTCGGGAGGCTGAGGCAGGAGGATCGGGAGTTCAAAGACATCCTCAGCAAAATCCAGGCCCTGAGCAACTCAGTGAGATTCTGTCTCTAAATAAAATACAAAATAGGGGGGTGCTGAGGTTGTGACTCAGTGGTTAGAGTGCTTGCCTAGCATGTGTGAGGCATTGGGTTTGATCCTCAGCACTACATATAAATTAAATGAACAAATATACAAAATAGGGCTGGGGGTGTACCTCAGTGGTTGAATTCCCCTGAGTTCAATCCCTGGTACCAAATAATGATGATAATAATAAAGGCAAAAATTATATTGTGTGGTGATGTTTGTATAATCTAGAAAAGTAACTTCAGAAATTCATCTGTCTACAGTAATTGAAAAAAATCATTTGAACTTTGAAACCCAAATCTATTGATTAATTGACTTTTATATAGGGTTTATGTGTATATTATCAACTCCCACCAGTAAAGATGCTGTTTCTTAAGATGGTTAAACTGAGTGTCTAGGTGACTTCAAAAGCTAGCTTAAGAGACTCTGGAGCAGGACACCATATCCCTATAATCTCAGTGATTCAGGAGACTGAGGCAGGAAGAATTCAAATTCCAAGCCAACCTCAGCAACTTAATGAGGCCCTAAGCAACTTAGTGAGACCCTGCCATAGATAGATAGATAGATAGATAGATAGATAGATAGATAGATAGATAGGCTGGGGCTGGGGCTCAGTGGTAGAGAGCTCCTGGATTCAACCCACAATACCCTCGCTCCCCCCAAAAAAAAATCTCTGGGTAGAAGAAACCTGTCTTGAGTATATTTAGATTAGGTATAAGGAGAACAGATATATATGAAATAGGCAGATAACAATGATTACAGATTTCTATTAAGCTCTTAGTCTGCCCAGCTTGTACTAATCATTTTGCTTTTGTTATCATGTTAGTTCTTATAAAAGCCTTTTGGAGGAGGTAGGTTCAGTTATTATCCCTTGTGCAAAAAAGTGAAAAAACTGAGACATAGGCAGGTCACACAATTAGCCAATGGTGGTAGAACAGGATTTAAATACAAATACCATCAGGACCCCCTAAACAACAGTTATTCTTTGATCTAGACTATCTAGAACTGTTGAACAGAATTAAAATATTAATAATACTGACATTTATTGAGTTGTGTACTATATTAATACTTTACATGGATTAAACTCATGTAATTACCCTGCAATTATGAGGTAGCATCTATTGTTAGTCCATTTTACAGATAAGGAGACTAAAGGTTTAGAAATGTTATCTTGCTTAATGTCACATACCTGATAAATGTCAGAGCTGGAAAGCTGAAAATGGGAATTCTTGTGTTCAAGACCCTCTTTTAAAATATTTCTTCAAATGTGCATTTAAAAATAATTTTTTTGTATATGTTTATTTTTCCCCTTTAAAAATATAAAATCTGGTTTATAATAGTATGTAGAATTTTTATTTGCATATTCTGGTTGTGTTTCAACTAAGTGGTAGCTTGGCACTTATATGAATAGTTGTACAAAACAAAAATATAGAGCTAGGGAAGAGTGAAGCTACAATCTATAAGCTTGTATGAAAGTGGCACATTTAGTTGCTCTGAATAAAGTTTGATTTTTAAGGGTATTTTAATAGACATTTATTTCATTATAAATGGTTTATCTATTTACAAATTTATTCCTGGAAGTTTTAGTAAGCACTTTTTGGTACATTCTGTATCAGTAAGAAAAACTCTCCTCCTTGTTCAGTATATATGATTGATAAATCAGAAATATGTTATCTGTGCATCTTTTCCCTAAATGATCACAAAACTGAAATCATTTTATATTTTAATGCTATGGATTGTGAAAGTTAAGTAGTGTACTTAGATTTAAGGACCTAATTATTTTTTGCATTTTCTCCCCTTATAGTCTGAGAAAAACTTGGTTAAAATGTTTACTAACTATATTTTCAAATATAATCAATGTATTGGCGCATCATATACACATTTGTTAAATATACTGGAGCTATTGTCATTACTTGACTTTATAATGTAGTTTTAATATGGGAGATTATAACATTTAATGTCAATAGTATTGATGTAAATACAGTGAAATGTAGTCTGTAGTGGACTAGATCCCTGTTTTGAACCAATTTTATAGTTCACACGACAGTCAGATAGCCTTCAGAGTTTCATTAAGATAAGATTCTTGCTTTTTTAGAAAAATATTTTGTCACATTAGAAGGTACCAGAGAAGCTTAAAAATATCTCATACTAAAAAAGTTTAAATTTTGATGTAGCATTACATAACCAAAGAGCACCTATTTGCTCATGTTTTCATGTTTATCAATAACTTCCTTTTTTGTGGGGGTTATTGGGTACTGAACTTCCTTACATATGTTACTTTATATGTTGCTATTCTACATTCCTGTTCTTAGTATGAATAGCCAAGACTTATTAAATTTGGTTGGAAGTTAGTGTAACTAATAACTACATGTCTGGTGTGCTAGAGACTTTGGGAGGTTTCCTGTGCAAGAGGTCTGCAGGATCTGATCGTGACACACAATAATTTCAAAGTTGTTTTTAGGAAGACTGTCATCATCTATTGCTTATTTAATTGTGTCCTTCTGTGATTATTTTTTGAAACAGCTCATTTCTGGTGTTCTGGTCCCTTTAATATATTTTTAATTGTTTATTTTTTGTATTTTAGCCCAAGACCTGCAAAATTTACAGAGCGTCCTCGACCTGGAGTTCAAATGATCTGTTCTTCTTTTAGTGCTGGTAAGATTGCCCCTCCCCTTCCTTTTTCATTAAAAGTTGTACATTAGAAAACTTCTAGTAAAATACATAAAATTTTGGAAAATATTTACTAATGTATTTTAATCATATCCTCATACATATACAAGAGCTAGTTAGTAAACAAGAATGATAAATTGAGTTAGAAATATTTCAATTTTGCTGGAGCTTAATTCACATAACCACATGACTAATATTATTCTATAAGAAGATCATAATGCTCTAATAGAGAATTAATAGTTTCAAAATTTGCTCTGTTACAAAGATTAAATCTTTAAATGGTTTTCTTATTGATCATAGGTATTTTAAATCTGGTTTACATTTTTGCAGATTTTAAAGGTGTTCCATAGCTAAGTAAAATAAATTTGATTAATATTTTTATATGCTCTCTTTACTTTGTTCCAGTTTGTTCTATTGCTCTTTAAAAAAAAAAAAAATAGCAGTATTATACTACTGTGCATGATGACACACTTTTGTAATCCCAGCTACTCAGGAAGCTGAGGCAGGAGGATTGAAAGTTCCAGGCTAACCTGAGCAATCTAGCAAGACTCTTTCTTTATTTATTAAAGTAATAAGGGCTGGGGATGTAGTTCAGTTGTAGAATACTTGTTTAACATGCTTGAGGGCCTGGGTTCAGTCCCCAGTATTGGGGCGGAGTGGGTAGTGGGGAGAAGAAAAAGCTGAATAGAAGTACTAATATGCTATTACCTTTTGAATTTCTGTAGCAGCATTCTGAATGAATGTTAAGAGTTTTCTGTGATCTACATAGTTGAAATGAATTGAACTATGAATAGATCCACTATCTAATGTTCCTAATACCTATTCCTTCCACCTTTATTTTCTGTTTTACTTTATTTCATAATTGTGGATAGCAGTATTACCTGAGTTCAGGGCTAGTAAACTGAAGTGAATCTGTTTTTGTCTCAATTTCAGTGCTGCTGCCATAAAGACAGTGTTCCTTCTAGTAATAACCCAAATTGGCACAATATATATGTGTATATACTCTGAATTTATGCTTTTCTTCCAAAAATAATTTGATTAAGTTTACAGGTCCATTAAGTGGATCATTTATCAAAAGTACTTAAAAATTTTATTTTGAATGTAAGGACTTGACTCTGTGGGAGAGCTTTGCTTTATAGAGGGGAATAAATTCTGCCAAGTAGAATGTATATGCTATAAGGCAAAGTCTTAGGTGAGTTTGGAGGAGGGCAGTTTCATTTGATTGCCAGGTTTGGAAAGGTTAGTTACTGAGGGCATTGGGCCTTAGAAATTTGGTAAGATTTCTGACTGATGAGAAATGGAACAACAGAAGGATATCAGCAATATCAGAGTTAAATGCTGTACTATCTAGTGAAGATAACTGCTAATTTTAACATGGTGAGATTATGTAATCAGTGAAATTGTTTTTAGAGAAAAGGTTTACTTCTGTAAATATTGAAAAATTCATCCTAGTTCAAGCTATATTAGCAAACTTCTTTTCAAATTACAGTTAGATGTATTATATATTTATGGTAAATGTAAATGATTTTAGAGTAAAATTTATTTAATACATCTTGTAGTTGCTTGGCTATTACTTAATTTTCAGAGATTTGAAAGTTGTATTTCCTCATAAATGTTTGCTGTTACTTTATAGGTGGAATGTTTCTGGCCACAGGGAGCACAGATCATATTATTAGAGTTTATTTTTTTGGATCAGGTCAGCCAGAGAAAATATCAGAATTGGAGTTTCATACTGTAAGTATTGGTGAAAGGAATTAGATGAATATAACTTAAATGAGACTGTTTATATTCAGCTTCTGCTTTTTATGTATCTATATATAGGACAAAGTTGACAGTATCCAGTTTTCCAACACTAGTAACAGGTAAAATATCTATATTTCTCTAATTTAATTCTTTAAATTTTTAAACTTAAAAAAATAAAGATAATTCTAGTAGTTATATTTAAGTTATATAGAAATTAATCACCTAAAATAAAGATCTTGACCAGATATACTTAAGTGAATAGGGCCTTCATATGCATGTAAACATGTGTCTTTGTTTCTTATTTTTTAATAATGTTAGTTTATTTGAATGCTTTTAATAATAGAAGCTTTTGTATTATAATCTATAATCTTTCCTACATGTATGAAAGTGTAGGGAAACTTTTTGGTAGTGCAGTATTCAAGACAGATATGTTTACTGATGACACAAAATGATATTTTGTGAATTTTTCATGTTTGTATTTTAAAAGTAAACAAAACTCCTTCACACTTTGAATAGAACAAATAAACTTTTTTATTATTAGGAGGAATTTTATCTCATTGAAAAAAATTCACTCTCTTTCTCTTTGTAGTACTGGGGATGGAACCCTAGACTGCTTACATGCTAGGCAGGTGCTCTACCACTGATCTCTACCCCCAGCCCTTGAATGTTATTTTTGAGACCTAATTATATTTATTTGTAAAATTTTTAAAGCGCATAGAGTTTCAGAAGTTGTTAGATTTATAGACAGGAATTTCTGTGATATTGGATAAAGATTGACTGTTGTCTTTTTAAAACAGGATTTTGGTGCATTTTGTTAAAGCATGTGTGATTTTGGGGGGGGGTGTTGGATTTCTTTAAAATACAGGTTTGTAAGTGGTAGTCGGGATGGGACAGCACGTATTTGGCAGTTTAAACGAAGAGAATGGAAGAGCATTTTGTTGGATATGGCAACTCGTCCAGCAGGGTAAGAATCAAATTTGAAATAGTATATCTAGATTATTTAATATATATTCTGCATTTGATGGGGCTGTTGTCTAAAGCCATGTATCGTTCACAATGATTAATTTTCTGCAATAACTATAGGTATTATAGGAAATAAACATTATTGGTTGATTTTTATGAAATATTTCACTGCCATATAACCAGAAGACCTGTTGGATTAATTTTTTAATTGGTTTTTTTAAGGGATTCTAGTTGTCCTGTAAGAATACTTGTAACTTTTAACATTTTTTTTAAGAGACCATATTATAATGTTCCATCTATCCTTTTAGGATGATATTTATACCCAGTAGCTTCTGTAGCATATTACATGTTATAACCATTACTTTTTTAAAAAATATTTTATTATTATTTACTAGTAGTTCTGTGTAGTTATCTCAGATAGATGGAGAGTGGTGCAATAAGGAGGGCATTGACAGCATCAGTAAAAGGTAGAGTGAGCACCTTGGCACAGAATTCCTGATTCTAGATAGATTTATAGCAGTGATATTTACCTAAGATCATCTGTTCCTAATGTCTTATGAGTCCCATAATCCTGAATTCAGGAAATCCTGAATTTTCTGACTAAGCGCAGGAACTTATGCTGTTGTGCTGTTACTTCAAACTATTTTTATTTTCGTTAAAGTGATACATATCCATGTTAATAATTATAAATTATAAGAATTTTTTTATTTTTAGTTTTTGTTACTTTTAATAAAAGCAGTGTAAACAAATGCTGCCTCCTTCCTTTCAGCCAAAATCTTCAAGGAATAGAAGATAAAATCACAAAAATGAAAGTAACTATGGTTGCTTGGGATCGACATGACAATACAGTTATAACTGCAGTTAATAATATGACTCTGAAAGTTTGGAATTCTTACACTGGTCAACTTATCCATGTCCTGATGGTGAGAAAATGGACTTTCTTTAAATTTTGGTATGACTAAAGCTGACTGTAGACTGTAGTTTTTATTAAAACATAAAATATTTTGTTAGTTAAAATCTCTAGTTACGGCAGTAGGGTTTTGTGGGTCATTAGGAATAATTTAAAAATGCAGTTAAAATGGTTTTGTTTGGAAATACATTGTAGATTCTTTTTGTGTTTTGGTGTTTAGGAATATGTTAATACTATTCTCATGTTTTACTTAATGATAGCACAGCCCTAGCCAGTATTATTAACTCATTTTCATTTTTATTTATAAACTGACAAATTTGACAAGTTTTGCCAATTTAATAATTCTTAAAATTCCATTTCTAGAAATATTACTTTTGTCATTGTTTCATTAAGCTTTTTTTTCCTATCTTTAATATTTATAATCTTTTGACACTTCAAAAATATTTCAGGGTCATGAAGATGAGGTATTTGTTCTTGAGCCACATCCATTTGATCCTAGAGTTCTCTTTTCTGCTGGTCATGACGGAAATGTGATAGTGTGGGATCTAGCAAGAGGAGTCAAAATTCGATCTTATTTCAATATGGTAATTATCAGTCTCTTGTTTTTATACCTGTTAAAGTTTGGGGGACTTTTTGACAAAAGTACTCTGCATATTACAGAGGAAATCCATTTAAAAATTGGTTCATACATTGTTTGACATTAAGTTTTCACCAATAAAGAATCATTTATTCTATACCTTAATTGGGATACTAAAATTAACTACACATACTACATTACCTATATAATATAATAAGTGGTTTAGTTTTATTAGATTTAGCAATGAAATTCATAAACATGAAGTGTAATATAGAAAAATGTTTAGAAAACCATGTGGATAAATTATTAACTAGTATTTGTTGTATTATTAAACTTTATTAGCTTTCTCTTAGAGCAACAAAATTTGATTCCAATACACTGATTTTAAAATTAAAGCCAAAGAATCATACGGGTCTTTACTTCTATCATGTTTTAATATACTAAATTTTTATTTGGGCTTATGACCTTTTCTCTCCATGTTTTGTTACTTACATGGATTTTGGCATATTTGGTGGAGTATTTGAATTACAGTGGTTTAATCTATTACACTTAAAGCTTACTTTAAGTGGTGTTTCCCTTCCCTATGACCACTGTATGAAATATAACTCAAATACTGCTGTTAGTATAGACACATAGTTTAAAAGTCTACTTTTTATGTATTAGGGATGCCTTTTTATAAAGAAAGGAAAGAAAAAAATGTTTTTACACTATCAGCATTTTTAAAAAGTGATAGAAACCTTAAATAATAGGTAAAACAATATGATAAATAGGTGGTCAGAGTTCTTTAGCAAGACATTATTTCACAGTAATAGTCATTTGTGAAATATGGTTTGTGAAAAAAATTGCATGAAAGTGATGTTTACTTGATTGATAATCTGTAAAATAACTTCTATGTAGTCAATAAACAGAAGAAAAAGTAAATTATATTAGTGAAGAAATTAACTTTGGCAGACATGGCTATGCCTTAGTATTCATAAGGTAAGAAATAAGGGTTGTAAAATTATCATTTTACTGAAAAGATAGTGTTGATTATTTGTTCTTAGTGATAGATGGATTTCCTTTGTGATTGCATAGAGATTTAAAAAAAAAAAACAAATCCACAAATATGCTGGTACTGAATTTTTTTTCTTTGTGGAACATATCTGTATTCAAGGAAACAGTCATTTCTCAGTTGATTTTTATAGCTTCAAAGGAAAGCAGTTAAGAGCTATACATATATTACTTGCTTCATTCAGTAATTCAATTCAAAGACCATTATTATACTGGTAGAGTGTGTGAAGAGAAAGTTCTCTCTTAAAATTGAATACTGCTTTCAGTTACAAAGGTGAATTTTCATCAGGTAAGTTGGTCACACATATATTCTACCTTTTCAACAGATATAAAAATTTCAACACTTGAGATTTAAGTGATTGCTCTTAAGCATTTACGAATTAGTTATGCAACCAGAGGTCAGCCATAATATATGGTTTTAAGAAATTAAATAAGAAATCAGTATCTTAACTGCTTTAAGATTATTTATTGTTTAGGGTTTTAAATGATAAAATTATTTGATTCTTTCTAAGATAGAAAAATTTATAAAGAGCAATAGAAATAAATTTATGTACTAAGTAGAATTAGATAGTATCTACAGAATCTTCAAACTGTTAGAAAAACAAAACAAAATAAAAAGATAAAAAGTATATCCTGCATTTGAAAAAACAACAAAAAATTATACTTTATCTCACTAAAATAAAGTTATTCTCTTTAATATTTTGAATAATTTCCAAAATGTTTCCACATTCTTTACTTCATTTGGGTCTCATGAAAGTTATATAATTAGGGTAGATTTTATTATTCTTGGTTTTATAAATAAACTGTATGTTAAAGAGATGAAGTGCTTTTTCCAAGTTTACCTAGGTCTCACAGTTATTACATGGGCACATGGAACTTATTCCCATGATTTTTGTCTGATGGGAATGTCTCCTTAAGTCTAAATGTAGTCATGGTTAGGTTTTTTTTTTTTTTAAAGCTGTTTTCAAAGTCACTACATAGCCAACTTCAATTTATACCCAGTTAGTGATCTATGTTGGGGTGGGGACATGAACAATTTTTAGAACTCTGTGTGGATCTTTGAGGTATTAAATTTTTTTTTTCCCTATCTTTAATTTATGTTGAGTAAGTGCCCAACTTCTTTTTGCTCTTCACTCCTTTTTTCATTTGATTGCTTGTTTATCTATGGGCAGATTAAACATAAAGCATCCAACACTGCTATTACAAATATAAGGAAAAATAATTTTAGGGAGGAACAGAAATTTGTGTCTGTTTATCATGAATTTTGAGCTGTGACTACAGTTATAGTTATTTCTCGTTATTAGCTAATCATTACATTTTGGAATTAATAAAATACCATAAACCTTTGATTTCAAATTTTATCCCTGATGTTAAGTTTTACTTGTAATCACATACTCAATTTAGAAAATATTTTTTGAGAACCATATGGAGGTTGTAGTTGTTCTTCCTTGGCGGGTTTGAGAATGAATAATTTTCATAGAATGCTTCATTTTTAATCTATAAAATGTTGTGGAACTTTAGATGAAGCCTTAAGTATATTTCATGGGAATGTTGAAATTGGAGCTTATAAAATAAATAAATTCACCATTTGGTGTATAGCAAGAAAATAAAAAATGTAAGCTATAATTTTAAAAGAATGCAACTTTTAAACATAAATTTTGGTTTTTTTATTAAGCATATTTTGAGAATACTGCTTTGGTATTGATTAATGATTTTTATAATTGAGTTTTCAATTTGAAATTTATATATTTTTATGAAACATAATAGAATTTACATGACAAATCAATATTCTGGATTAATCAGCATTTTACAAATTTTTCTTACCTATTAGGAAAATTAAAATTCTGTTTTTGAAATCTTAGAAATAGTAAAAAATAAAATAAATCCAGAACTATATTTTAGAAAGTTTTTTAAATGAAAAGTTGAACTTTTAACTTCTAAGTTATAATAATTATGTTTTAATAAATTTTTAATGGTTGGTTATGAGATGTTAATATTTTAAATTGTATTGATAGGGATCGTTCAGGTAAATATTCATTTTTCCCACATCAAGCCATGACTTATACTTGAAAAATTAAAAGATATGAAGTTGAGAATTCAGATAAACATATTTAGCTCTTTTTATGCTTAAACAGTTTCCTACTTTACTTTGTTTCAAAATCTTATAAATGGATTTTCAATTTGCTAGTAGTTTTCTTCAGAAAACGAATGGGATTATTTACTTATTTGTATTGCTAGCATTCCTCTTCATAGAGGATCTGAATGATAAAAACAGTTGGGAGGTGGGTTATTTTTATTACTAATAAGACATATATGACAAATGAGATGATGTTTGTAAAAAAGGCTAATATAGGACATGAAATTTAATAGTTAATACGTGTTCCTTGTATTCCTCCTCTCTTTCACCGTCTCATCTTTAATTAAAAATAATCTCGAACTTATAAAAGCCCCCCTCTCTCCCCCTCCCCCTACTCCTTATCGCTCTCTCTCTGTTTCTGTCTCTTTTTCTTTCCTTGCTCCTCATCTCTTTTTCTTTTTCTCTCTTTCACTGAACCAGGAAAATAATAATAATAACTAAAGAGAATGTCCTAGGGAAAATGGACAACTTTATTCCTGTTTTAAAAAAATTCATGAATTCTGGGCCTCAAGTTTTTCTTATTTAAATTCTTAAAAAAAAAATTTAAAAAAACTAGCATCAGTTATTCATTCATGTTTTAGCTGAATAGTCCTTGCATAACTTGAGAAGTCAGGGGAAAATAGTAAATATTTGCATATTTTATTGAAACCCATAGTGTATATTAAGAATATTGTAAACTAGTTGGGTTTAATTTAGCAATCCCACATTTTGACAAGAGGTAGACATTAGTATAGCTTTGTTTTGATCAGAGTTGTTCTAAGCTCTAAAGGCTTCAAACTCCAATTAAATACTAAGAGGCAGCGAAATTATTCCCAGAAATAACTTGAAAGTGTGTGTAAAGTCTCTGGACTTAACTTGATGACCTTGTATTATTGCTATTCCCTGAAAAGAAGTAGGCACATTTAGAAGTTTACTAAAATCTTATATGTTCCTCAAAACAAAGTTGTTTTAGTTGTTTTGGGCCTTTATTTCCTCCCTTAAATTACCACACAGTACAACTAAGATTTAACAGCAAATTCAGTTGAATCCATGTTAATTTGAAAAGATATGAAAGACCTTCTGTTTCTTAATATTCAACTATTTGAATACTAGATAGTAAATAAATAAAAGATGTTTGGAATGAGATTTATAGACTCATGTTAGTAACTTTTCTCACGTCTTTGGCACCTTTGCTTTCTCTCTTGCTGTTTCTTTTCTCTGTAGTCCTAGCTATATCTGATTCTTTCTCCATATCTTTCTCTTTCTGTCATGTTTTTCAAAGATGTAGTTGTTGCCTCCTGTCTGGTTTTAATTTTAATTGAAGAGTATAATATGTCTCTTGTGAGAAAGCGGTTTTATTGAATTTGATTTTTGCTTTACTTTTGTTGTTTCATGGGTAAATTCCAAATAACAGTTTTTATTTAATTAAAGTTTTCCTTATTTTTATAATTGTTCTCTTAACTTTTCTTTTACTTAAGAGATTAAAAAAAAAAAAATGTTCCTGTGTCCACTAATCCAGAACAATATATTTCTCCTTGCAACGTTCCAAATGAGCAGAGGCTGCCAATCTACCACTCAGAATTTTTACACATGCATAATTCTTCTGACATTAACATGTTCTCAGTGTTACCCATACTTTAGTTTTAGACAATCACAGCAGCATATATCTAGGAAAGAAAGAAAAAGAAACTCAAAATAGGTATAGGTTATATTGTGGTATTATTTGTGAATAAAAATTTCAAGTCAGTTTATCTTTCTTCTTTCTCTCATTTGTCATTATCTGATAAGATAGTACTATATCTATATCCTGTGTATTTAAAAGGACTCTGAAGGCTCTGGTC